GCTAAAATCAGCAGGGCACTAGCTAAAATCAGCAGGACACTAGCTAAAATCAGCAGGGCACTAGCTAAATTCAGCAGGGCACTAGCTAAAATCAGCAGGGCACTAGCAATCTCTGGGTTAAAAAGACAAAACCCCTCAGGTAACTTCAGCAGCTCAGCCTGAGTCAGTAGTGAAATCTAAGATGCAGACTTTTGAACAGCTCATTAATCTTTCATTCTTGGTTCCAACAAAAGCAATCTAGAGTCTCATCTCCTCCCTGCCTTTGTTAGTCTTCATTCATCTGAACGTGATTTATTTAAGGCAGGAAAAACTAGAACATTGTTCAGGACGTAGGGAGGTATAAAGTTTGAGCCCTGGCAAGCTCATCATCACGCTGACATTTCTTCCTCACATTTCTTTCTTCATGTTGTTTGATGCGTCTGCTATGACATTTAAATATTGTACAAGTTTATATTAAAGTGGTAGCTCAAATGTTTTAAGGAGGGGTTCTGTGGGAAGGTTATGAACAGTTAATATCTTACCTGCTGTGGATAGCTTTTTGAACAACCTCAGTTTATAGAAATAGAGTTTAACTTTGATCAGATTAATGAGCTAACAGCTAGTTTTATTAAAAAATATGGACTGCGGATACCAATTATTCTGTTCACTAAATATTTAGATAAATTCCAAGATAAAGATTAATAAAACTTGAAAAAGCAGGTACTTTTTTACATTTGTTTTACTCTGATGAATGTGAGACTCTTTAGCTCACCTGGTGGTTCCAGCTGGTGGTGAAGGGGGAGTGTCCAGTCTCTCTGCATGGGGCGGGGCCACGGGTCTGAACATCTTCCTAGAGAACATTGGACTGGGCGGAGCCACGGTAAAAGGGCGTTCCTGAAACTGTGCTGGATTCTGATTGGACGGGGTGTGGGAGAAGGTTTGAGTTTGGCTGCAGCTGCACCGAGGGCACATCTCTGTGACTTCCTGTCTCTCAGGGGGCAAACTGTAGGACCTCTGTCGAGATGTTTCGGGCGGCGGGACATAGGACGAGGAGTGAGCTGAGAACTGTCCCTCTGCAGAGTCGAAGGAAGGTGGGACGCAGAGAGGAGGAGCACCGGAGGGAGAGGACAGCAAGGCGTGGTGAGACGCACGTCGGCGGTGGAATTGCTCCCACTTGGGGGGCGGCGGCCTCGGTGGGGCTTTCTTCCTGCTCTGCCTGGCGGGGCTCGTCGAGTCTCCCGCCTCCTCCACCTCACTCAGCATCTGGCTGGTCGCAGAGAACAGCGACGGGGACCAATGCTGGCTGCTTTCGTAGCGGAGGTCGTTTTCAGACATCGCCCGTCCTCGGAGGAAAAGAGGAGCCGGCGGAGGCGCAAAGGCGTAACCGTTTCGATCGTCACCGCTGCTGTCCGTCCGCCTGGAGTCCCACTGAGCCTGATGGAGGTGATGCTGCTGCTGCTGCTGGCTGAGGCTCTGAGGCCGCCGAGACTCACGCCTCGAACTTGGGTAGTCCCTGAAGTGAAGAAAACACGTTACTCAAATAGTGCCTTATCATTCACCAGAAATGTCTTAAGATGTCCAGGTTAGAATCCAGCAATACTTGAACAATTGTATAAATCCGGTCATGACCGAAGAATACGTCTTTGAACTTAAACACAATTTCACAGAATTTGATGGAATAATCAGGCGCTGACTCCAACCAGTGAACAGAGGAGTTATTTAAGAGTGCCACCACAGATACTGCTAGGGAGGTCCCGATCCACATTTTTTGGCTCCCAATACAATCCAAATTTTTTTTAATGATTAGTCTTTCCAGTACCGATCTGATAGCTTTATTATGACCCCCGCACGCGAAGCGTAAGCAGGAGTCATATTGTTTTCGTACTGTTTTTTTTTTTTTTTTTTCAGATTTTTGGTCAACCGTAGCACAAAAACRGCTGCACCGATCAACATGAAATTTGGCAGGACTGTAGATGAGTCTGACCTACACTGGGCCAGCCAACGGTTTTACGMTRSACCCCATATTTGAGGAGGGGGCTCCTTTCAAAGAGGGGGTGTCAGGACATATAAAATGCTTATAACTCAGAAACTGTTCAACAAAAAAGCTTCAGATTTCTTTTGTTGTTTAGCTCTGATGAAGCTCTATCCATCAGACCCACCAATCAGTGCCCCCCCCACCCCCGACCACCAATTTATCCGAAAAAGTGGTATCTGGACATAAAAAATGGTTGTAGCTCAAAAACTACTAAGCATAGGAGCTTCAAATTTTCTTTGGTTGTTTAACTCTGATGAGGGGCTATCCATCAGGTCAACCAATGCCCCCACCCAACAAAAGACCCCCTCCCAAGCCACTACAATATTGGGATGCRYCTAGTAGCATGACATTTATTAGGAATAAAGATTTCTGAGTTCTGGTGCATTTCTGCGTGCGGGGGTCATTATGTTACCGCTATGCAGTATCTAGTTTCTTTATTTCTTTCCAAGTGTCAATGTTGGTAGTATTAAAGCGAGCCCTGCTGTTCCCACCATGAGAAACATCCAGTTTGCAGATTTTACAAGATGCAGTTTCAGCATCGTTGTTTTCCATTGAAAAGTGTTCCCACACTGTGGACATGGTTGCATACTTGAGTGCGTTCTGACTTCTTAACGGCAGTTGTAAAGCATGATGACACTTAAAACTGTCRTGAAAACTGTATCGGCCCGATCACATGACTAAATCTGATTCTACCCGATTTTCAAAAAAATGGCYATATCTGCCACYGATACCGATATTGAGTATCTGATCGGGACAACCCTAGTTACTGTAGCCTGATAAAACCCAGMCCCYTGTCCTTCGCTTTGCTTCATACGAGGGTCTGGACTCTCGGCTATAGAGAAGCGATTCTTGCAGGAGGTGTGGCCTCTGCTGAAGTTTAAAATGGTTGGATCGGTTGGCTGCGACGTATGTGCGCCAGTTCCACTGTGAAGGAGGCTAAGCTAAGAAGCTAACCGGAAATTGCGTGCGCAGTAAACACCCCTACTGAGAGGAGAGAAATACGGAGCAGAACGAGGCGGCTGTAAATGAGAGCTGCTGCTTTGTCAGACAGATTTAATTTAAATTGGAAGCCTTATCAACACAGACTGGCTTCATTC